GAGGTTTAATTTACAGAGAATCAGATCCAAAGTAGTCATTCTAAAAATATATTACCATCCAATCAATAGGCTAAGCAAATGGGTACAATGCAGGGCTGACCTTCAGATGGAAGCTACATGTCCTTTATACATCATCTCCAGGATTAGTCAAATGCCTATTCTAGTCAACTGGCCATCAGACAAAGGGGGTTCAAGTCCTTGGAACCTTGAGAGCTTTGGGATCACCTGTCTATTTCTAGGCAAAGATGGGCACACACCCAACTCAGAGGCAGAATAACATGTTTCCAGTTGTTTAGTTAGCTGTGGAGATCTTTTCTATGGCCTACCCATATTGGACTGAATGTTTGTGTCTCCTAACATCCATACACTGAATCCCTAATCACAAAATGATGGGATGAAAGGTGGGGCCTCTCCATCAAGTCATGAAGACAGAGACCTCATGAATGCTCTAATAAGGAAAGGCCAGAGAGTCACCTTACTCTATTTCTACCATGTGAAAATTCAGTAAGAAGTCAGCTGCTGTGATAGTCAAAGTGAGCTGTGAACTTCACTGGCTTTGAGACCCACCCCCAGAATTAGGAAAGCACATTTCTGAGTGTCTGTGTATCAGTCATGGAAGCATGATCTTGGGTTCTGGATCTGGTCCCTGTCCGCTTCCCCTCTGGCACCGTTCCCTTGTTCTGCTTCCTAGCCACCATGAGCTAAGCATTTTTTTTCTCTACTATAATTTTTCACCATATTTTTTGCCTGGGGGATAGATGACCATAGCCCTGAAACCACTAACCAAATTAAACCTCTCCTGTTTTAAATTGTGGATGTGGGTTATTGTGTCCCACAACTGGAAAGCAAAAATATAGCACCATGAAAGAGGGCCCTCATCAAAATCCAAACATGCTTCTCCCCAGTCTCAGGCTTTCAACATTCAACTGTGAAAAACATTTTTTTCCATTATTTATAATCCACCTAGGCCATGGTACTTTGTTAGAATATCCTGACTTAAAACATTAGCCCAATTTTCTTCTTCCATCCCAGTTGTGACCAGCCATACAGATTTATGAATGTGTTCATGACAGAGACTGGAGTGTTGGGTATTGGGCCTACAAGTGTAGACTCCATGACCTTCGTCAATGTCAACTGGAAGTGTATCTGCAGAGCACGGTTTGGCAATTCCATTCATCTCTCTACCCATCACACCTTCTCATATTTTTCACCTTTTTCTCATATTTCTCAAAAATCACTGCTGGCTTGGAAAAGTTCTATTTTTCAAAAATGGCTACAGTGATATCTCACATCCCACATTATTTTCCTACAATGTGACTTTAACACTTCTCCAATAGAGTGTTGGAGAGTCTATATCCTTATCTTTAAATATGGAAGGAACTTTGTCCTCATCACAACCAATAAAATATGGTAGAAATAATGTTATTGTTTTTAAGGATAGATCGCAAAAGTGTTATCTATACCTGCCTTGATCTGGAGCACTTGGTCTTTGAACCCAGATCCACAAAGAAAAACTAAATAAGCCAATCCAGAGAAGACATGTGGTGAATTCACACGTAAATTTCCCAGCTAAAAGCCAGCTAAACTACCACCACACGTGTAAGCTAGTTGCCTTCAGATAACCTCTTCCCAGCTACTGTACTTGAATCTCCTCAAATGGGCCAAGACATGTAAAGAAGATACAAGTCATTCCCATCCAAATTCTTTTCTTTCACATTTATTTCATTAGTACATGTTTGTGATATATGACGTTCACATTTATCCTAGGAAGTAGGTACATGTAGATAACATATCTTGATTGTGTCTTAATTCTCTTCCCCCACCCACCCACTTCCCTACCTCTGTCTCTAAATTCCTTTTCCCCATTTTCATTCTTATAATTATTTTTAAATTCAATCTTATTTTTTATTATTAAGTATTTTAGTACAATTTAGATATGCATAGTGATCACATTCATCACAGGAAATCTGTATCTGTACATGATGTATCTTAGTTCCTCTTTTTTCCCATTCACCTCCCCTTCCTTCAGTCCCTCTTCCCCTCCTTTACAAAGATGTGTTTCTACTTTATCACTTTGTTCTCAATTTTTTCTTTTCCTTTCCCCTTTAGTCTTCTCTGTCCTTTTGAATAACTTCCTTGTATCTCACAGTATCTATTATGCATTTTGTTTCTTATTTACACTTTCAGTTTCTCACATAGGAGAGACAAAGTGATATTTATTTCATTTAAGAGTATCATCTCAAGGGCTGGAAAGATAGCTCAGTAGAATAAGCGCTTGCCTGGCAAGCACAAGGGCCTGAGTTCAATCTCCCGGTTCCGCAAAAAGAAAAAGTATCTCCCTCTCAAAAAGGAGGGAGGAATGGGCATGGTCTCAAAGTACATCCAAGACATCATTTTATCAGATTCACTGTTTGATTCTATAAGAAATTCAGATTTTTTTTTTACATCTCATTTTATTTCTCGGGTTGAAAACATATGGAGCATGTCACAAATTTCCATGTCATCCATGCACAGGAGCCATGCTAATCTACTCTGTATCATTCCAATTTTAGTATATGTGCTGCTGAAGGAAGCAATAGAGAAGATCTAATGCCACTACTTCTCTAACTCTTTAATGAAATTGAAAGGGAAGCAGTACTATCAAAGCCATTCCTAGAAGCAAGAATTACCTTGATACCTAAGCCAGAGAAAGACTGAATGAGAGAGAGAGAGAGAGAGAGAGAGAGAGAGAGAGAGAGAGAGAGAGATTACAGCCAATCTACCTAATGAATATATAAGATACTGGCAAACAAAATGCAGAAAATCACTGAGAAGATTGTACACCATGATGAAGTAGGATTCATCTCAAGAATGTAGGGCTGGTTCTACATATGCAAATCAATAAATGCAATGCACCATATTAATACAACCAAATACAAAATTACATGATCAGCTTAATAGATGTAGAAAAAATATCTGACAGTCTAACACCCTTTCATGATTTTAAAAGAGCATACAGAAAATTGGAATAAATGCTCTTTATCTCAATCTGATGGCAAACCAACAGCTAGCATCACACTAAATGGTCAAAAACTAAAAGCTTTCACTCTAAAATCAGGAACAAAGGCTTGGGTTTTCCCTTTTCCCCTTTTTTTGGAAGGTTTTTCCTTTTTTTGGATAGGAAAAACCAACATAGTAAAAATGATCATATTTCCAAAATTGTTAGACAGATTTAATACAATTCTAATCAAAATACCATCAGCATACCTCACAGAACTGAAGAAAACATTTCTAAAATTTGTTTGGATCTGGAAGAGACCTAGAATTACAAAAATATTCTGGGTAACAAATGCAAGGCAAGAGGCATAACAATCCCTGATTTGAAAATGTACCTCAGAACTACAATGATAAAAACAATAAGGGACTGTTAAAAAAAAAAAGAGTGGAACAGATTAACAGATTAGAAGATGCAGAAATAACTCCAACCACATTCACCTTATCTTTGATGAGGAGGCCAAACATGTTCACTGGAAGACAGTTTCTTTAAAAAATGTTGTTGGAAAAACTGGCTTTGTACATGCCAGGATTAAAACTAGACTCATGTCTATCATCATGCACTAAACTAAATCTAATATGGATGAGAGATCTAAATATTAAAAGAGAAACACTAAATCTGCTGAAAGAGAGAACAGGTAGAACTCTTGAAGACATTGCTGCAGGCAAAGACTTCATGAACAAAACCCTAACTACATGGGAAATGCCACAAAGAATCAACAACTAGGATCTAATCATACTAAAAAGTTTTTGCACAGCAAATAAATTACCAACAGAGTGAGAAGACAACCCATAGAGTGGGGAAAATTCTTATCCAGCTGTTCCTCAGACAAAGGACTAATATCTAGAATATATAAAGACTAGAAAAAAATCAGACACCACCCCAATTTCTTTTTTGTATTTTGGAGAGAGTGTACAAGGTGTGCAGGGTCTCACTGTGTAGATTGGACTCACACTGATCCTCCTGTTTACAGCCTCCCAAGTGGTGAGATTATAGGCTCAGTCTCAATTGCTGTCTCAGTGTGCCCCAGGGGCGGGGCCAGCATGGCAGGCCAGGGGATCAAACTCCAGGCCCCTGAATCTGCCTAAGAAGGCACCCCTCCAAATTTAAAGACCCAAATCCATAAGCAAACATTTTAAATGAACAGACACTTCTAAGCTGAAGTAGAAATGGCAAATAAATATATGAAAAAAAAATGTTCACCATCACTGGTCATTGAAGAAATGCAGTTTAAAACAATACTGAGATTCCATCTCCAGAAAGAATGGCTATCATCAAGGAAGCAACCAAAAACAAATGACAATAACAACCAATAACAAATGACGGTAGGTTGTGGGGAAAAGAAACTCTTCTCTATCATTGGTGGGTGTGTAGCCTGGTGTAGCTACTGTGAAAATCAGTGTGGCGATTGCTTGAGAAGCTAGGACTGAAGGTCCCATTTGACCCAGCTACTCCCCTTTTTTGGTATCTTCCTGAAAAAATTAAGAGCATCATACTACAGCAATATGTTCATGCTCATGGTTATAGCAACATAGTTCGTGATAGCAAAATCTTGGAAACAACCCAAATGCCCTTCCTAATACTTGACCCACAAAATCTTTGAGCAGAATCAAATGGTTGTTCTATACCATTAAGTTCTTCTGTGTTTTGTTACACAGCGTTAGTAACTGGAACACTGACAGAGCCTCAGTTTGGCTTCCTTCCAAGTCCTGAAACAGAAAATTGTGTTCTACCCTGAGATTGCTTTCATGGAGCATTAAAAACTCTCTTGTCTCCAGATTCAAGCTTCAGAGAGATCCAACCAGAAATTACATGTGCACAGAGAGGCTCATGGTAAAGACGTGGCCCTGTCTTGAAGAACACATTTTTAAAAGTAAACAAAAGTCCATCTTGTCCTTAACTAAAGCAATTTCTCAGTGCTGGTGCCTCAAAACATTGTATTCTCTTTGAGGAAAATCTTAAAAACAGCCACACCTGCCCTTCCTTATCCAGATGTGCAGGGCCCCGCCAACTCATGACCGTGCCTACTCTCCAGGTCCCCACACCACAGCAGCTAAGTATTCACCCAGACTTACAGGACATAATAACTAAGTTTCCAATGACCTGAATGTTTCAAAGCCCTGGGCTACTGGTTATGACACTCACAGTGTCACCATTTACTTGTCACAAGAGAAGCTTCCACCTTCTCCAAACCCTAACTTTCTGCTCTTTACCAAGCTGAGAAGCCACTAAAGTCCTCTTCCCTACATCGTCACATGAGTAATGCCCCAAACTGTTCTTTGCCCTTCGTTTATTTTTTAGACATCCCTGGCCCAAGAAGTCACCCCAAATGCGGTGTTCCATTTGCATCCTGGGGACCAGGCCAGCCTCTGCTCACACAGCTTGGCCCTAATTCCTCCTCTGTGTAGCTGGACAGTAAACAAAGCCCACAAACGCAGGTGCCTTTTGTCAACCCCTTGAGCCAAAGGTCTCTTCAATTTCCTTTACTCATTGATCTCCTCTGTAGGACAGCTGATAAGTAATTTCCTCCTACAATGACCACAGGGAAAGCACATCTTGTTTGAAAGGAGACACTTGCTCCTGAACAGGACAGTTCATTCTAATCTCCAGGAGTTGGAGAATGTAATCAAAGCAGGACGCATATACATGGGTGTCAATCTTCCTGACCACCAATCTGATCCCTTTTAGGATCAGCTTGGCCTGGAGGCCAGAGGGAAGTATTTGATGAAATGTAGACTTTCAGTGGCAGCAGAAAGATGCCTTGTAATAGATGGAAATCCAATTTGAGAAAGCAGAAAAAGAGTCCAAAGGCCAAGGAATAATTTAGGACAAAGCAAAAACTGCAAGTAGAAGTAAAATCTCAACATAGTAGTGCAAAGCTGGTCACTAATTAGTATTATACTACTTGAGTTCAGCCAAGTTTTCTTTAATCCAAAGATATATGATGTTATTCAAGTCCCAGTCAAGGGACAGCAGCTTTTGCTAAGGTTTCATCCTCCTTATGGGCCACATTAGGGCATTTTCAGTCATGTTTGATACACAGCAAAGAGTACTAAATTAGATATCATAATATTCTGGTACTTAAACTAGTTCTACTGAAAACAACTCACATAATGGGATTCTAGTGTTTAGTAGGGGTTCCTGGCCACAGACACCTCTACATAACTGTCTCAACCTCCTTTTTCTACCTGCTAGAAAAGTGCAGTTTCTCAAGATTTCTCTAAATTCCTGAGAAGGAACAAATGTTCTCATAGTCTGTCTTGGGCTCATCTTTCAATACATGTTCACACTTCTATCCTATTCCAACCAAAAGGATAAAACCCATGCTCTTCTTTAACCCATAAAATACCTATTTTCATCAAGCATTTTGAGAAAGGAGGACCATGCATCATAGCAAGGAGGTCTGCTGCACACCTTGCCACCACTAACATCTCCAGGTTCTCTGTGGCCACTTCTATTGTGGGCTACCTGCATGCTCTTACCTCTTCTCTTCTGGTTTTTATAAACAATAACAGCTGACTCCTTGCCCCCATTGTCTGCTACAGGCATTTTACTCTTTTCTTCTGTTATGATCCAGCAAATACAAAGTTCTAAGGAAAATTCTACAAATAACGGAGAAAATGATAGCAACTGAAAGGCAACTCAAGGCTTGTCTTTGCCCAGCAGCAATAAGAAGACATTACCTCCCTTGGTGTTTGTTTCTCGTCTTCCAAATGTCAGGGCTGGGCTGTGATCCTGCGCTTTTCCATTCCCTACGCACCCGCTGAGGAGCCAATGCTGCCTGTAGAAAAGAAATGTCAGCATATTGGCATCTGGGCTAATGAACAGATCTGCTAATTGTGTTTTGCATGAAATGTGAAATTCAAAGAAAACACTAGAGGATATTAGCATTGCTAAGTAGTGTCCTGTGCCATTTTTAAAAATATGTTCATTCCTTCCCTACCATTAATCATCTGTAAAACTTTGGGAAATTAGTTAACATAGCCTGGCATCAGTCTTTCCAGTTCTGCATTTGTGACATGCTGTGATTAATATTGGTGATCTGTGATGTACATTGCAACCACTTTGGACGACTCTCTGGTGGGCTATACTAAAGCTAAAGAAGTCCTTATAACCTGTACTTCCACTCCTAGGTGTAAGCTAAAGAAATACATACACGTGCCTACCAAATTTATCAGAATATTCATTAATGCACTCTTCATTACAATCCCATAGCAGGTTCAATGGTGTCCCTCAAAGATATGTCTATATCTTAACCCCTGGAACCAATGAATATGACATGATTTGGGAAAAAGGTCTTTGGAGATGTGATTAAGGTAAGAATCTTGGGGTGAGATCATCTTGGATTACCTGGATAGGCTTTGAATCCAATAACAAGTGTCCTTGAGAGAAACAGAAGAGAACAAGGATACTAGCAAGACGACGCAGCCATGTAGATATTGAGGCAGGTATTGGAATGATGGGGCCACAAGCCAGGGATACCTGCAAGCACCACGGGTTAAAATCGACAAGGCAGGGCTATTCCCTGTATCTCTGAGATGG